GTTGAAGAAGACGAGGAATATGAGGCGGTTGTCACTGTACCTGATGCACCAGACAGTGATGATGAGTGTAGGAGCGATTATTGTGAGTCTTGAATTTTGTTTGTTTGTAACTTTTCTTTTTTTGTAACTTGTTTCACTAATAAAATATTTTTTCTAAACTTCACAGTCAAAAAATGGGGGGGTGGCTTATACAAAGGGGGTGCTTATACATGGGGAAATACGGTATTTGTTATTGTGTATTGCGAATTGTGTGTATGCAATGTTCAAGTCATATGAGGTATGACGGCCCCAACCAGACTCGATGCGAATGAAACCCCTCTCTTTCTCCTCTTGTTCAATCTACCTTCCTGCTTTCTCTTTCTCTCTTTCATTAACTCCATCCAACAATCATAAATAATTTGCCCTGTCTTGCCTGTATTCTGTAAGATATTGGGCTTTATACGATTCCATTTCGTGTACTGCCTCAGCCATTTGTTGGATCAGTCCAGATTTGTGCGCCCACAAACCCTCACAGGCAGTTTTGTCCAGATAATCTCTACTGGATGGGTCGGTGAGTCTTCTTCACATGGGAATGACCACATGAGTGCAAAATCATTTGGTATCATAGTCTATACAATAGGGTTCGAAAATTCCGAAAAGAAAGTGTTTAATTTTCTGTTGGCATTGTTCTGCTGTTCCGCTTCCTCAATGGTTCGCCCAACTTCTTCGAGATCTGACAGAACGGCAACATCAAAATCGAGTCTAGTGGGCCATCTGCTTATCGCGCCTTAATTGACTGCCTCCGATTTCTATTTAATAATCCTGGAATATAATTTTCTCGGAAAAAAAATATTTCTTAATCTTCCTATTTCCTGCCCCTACTGGTCGTGTTTGTATCTGATTAAAAAAATTGGCATCCAAGAATGCGTTTTTAGCAGGATGAACCTCCAATTGAACTATGTAATTTTTCATTTAAATTGAAGTTCTGTTTGCTTATGCAACTCACCAGTGAAGGTAAAATATATACTACTCATAACCAAATTGGCCAATCAAATGGCTAAATCTAATGAAAAATGCTATTGATGCTTATCGAGCATTTTACTCATTATCGTCCTCATCCACCCTACGGAGAGAATCATAACTTATTGTGCGATCACTAGCAAAATGTGACCCTTTTAAATTGTTTAATAGGACTCGACCTTTAATTTTGAACGAAAAGTTATTATATGCTCTTATTAAATTACTAAATATGCCAACTTATTAAGGGATTCTGCATAAACCAGCTCTTCCTCATGTCTGCACTTTTCTATTTTATTCCTATTTAGAAAAAAGAAGCACTTTTGGAGCTCTTGAAACGGATTTCAAGTCTTTTTGGCGTGCAACAAGAGAGACTTTACGAGATAGACAAACTCTACGATCTTGAGAAGGCTCTAGCTCAGGTATATTGTACGCATAAATGCCTTGCATCTGGTTGGGGTTCTTTGATACCAAGTTGGAGAAGTTCTCCTCTTTACTAAATAATTGGCTCTAACCTGCTCCGTCAATACCGATTTATAGCTGGCTCTATCTTCTTTTAGGAAGGGTCGGATAAGCAGAATATTCACGCTTGGAACTATTTGGTTCCATTCTCTTCTAAATCGGCAAAACAACTCACAAAACATGATGTCATACGGATATGACTTATTCATTTTTACTAGCCTTGCTAATTAGGAAAGCTCAGGAGCACCGGTGGACGTATCAGAAAGAAGAATTGTTAAACTGTTGGTTGTGCCAAAGTTGGGTCGCATCCAAAATGGTATTGGTTTCGCTGGCTGTTATTTGGCATTTCGGTCTGGAAAGGTGCCTCGAAGTGCGTATCTTTGCTGTCGCTATTCCTTCAGAAGAGTGACTCATGAGCCAGTCTCACGGGAATACGAGTGTAGCTTCAAAAATATATGATAAAATAGTAAATATAAATATGACAGCTTTTTAGACTGAAAATAGATTGTGTGGTAAAAGCATCGGAGCATGGCTTGCTTACGAACTGCTTTTGCAGTAAAATGAAAATAATATTGCTTCTGTCTAAAATGCCTAGCCTTACATTATAAGCCATACGAGTTCCACAAAAGATGCCTTTTTTTATTTGAACAAGCTTACAGATGCCCGAGATGATACTGACCTGGAGGGCCAATATCACAAATCGACAATTGCTACCCTCCAGAATGACTGCGATGTTGTAAGTTTTTAATTGCCTAAAACGCATGCTTTTGGTCTCTTCTCGAAGTTTTTGCTTGCAATGCCTTCTGAAAAGTTTTAATTAGTTAATTTGAACAGATTTATTTCAAACTGTAAAATTAGCCTAAAAACCTTTTTTTCTTGAGCTAAAGTCGTGGGTAGCGTGGCTATACAAACAAACATTCTGCTGCAAAGCAGATGTTGATAAGACAAAGATATAGTTGTCGTATTTAAGTAGAGTTTCAAGACTACCAG